TGTCATTGTGATGGATCTGTGCTGACTGAGAGTCTCGCATTGAACATCAGTGCTCAGTCCGTGAATCTTGGTGCCAAGGAACCCACTCAGTTCAACAGAGTCTAAGTCTACGGCCACAATATCTCTTACAAGCGGAACATCCGTAGTTAGAATGAATTGGTTTAGAGAAGAAAACAGCGGATTATTTCTTTTCCAAGCACAACACAACCACGAATATGTCATTATGTTTTGTTGTGTTAACTTGTTAGTTACAGTTGTGTTAGTTACAGTTAACTAGAAGCATCATCGCTCGGAATTGGGTGCAGTTCCATTATTTGCCCCACTTAACCAGCCCCTACGGTTCCTTTTTGCCATTGGCCGCACCCATGTAGAGTTCTGCCTCCCGGACCCACTAAGCCCCACCGAACAGGCCTTCCACGTGCGCGCTTCTCCCAAACAGGCATCTCTTGGCGCCTGGGGTGGTAGAGTTCCGTCCAGGGTGTTGGAGCATTCCCAGGGGTAGAGTTCCGCCCTGCCATTGGCCGAGATGCCCGGGGGGTAGGGTTCGATTGCCCGGGGGTACGGTTCCGGGGGTACGGTTCCGGTGGTACGGTTCCAGGGGGGTTGAGGGAGATGCGAAGCGCGTTCTCGCGACTCCTTTTTTTTTCTGTTTTCCTCTTCTAAAAAGGCGAAAGAGGTTCGGACGGACAGCAGATAAGAGCGACGGCCCCCGGAGAGAGACCACCACAGTTATTTGCGATGGAGCCCTTCGTCCACCTGCCACAGCACCGAGTCGTAATCTGCAAGCGCTGCCAATTCGCCTGTGTGGCCAACGAGGTACCAGCCCACTTGCGGACACGACACGCCGATGTGCCCGTCGCCGAGCGACACGCTATCGCCCGCGCGGTCCAGCAGCTGCCCGACATCATCCGGACGCAGGAGGACCTGGCCGGCTTCGAATTCCCTCCGCCGACGTCCGAGGCGATCCCATTCCTCGGCCCTCCGCGGCCGGACGGGCTCAAGTGCCGCGTATGCCCGTATATCGTCTGCCATCCGAAGAAAATCCAGGAGCACGCCCGAAAAGTACATGGCTGGCATAACCCGCTGAGAAGCGGCAGGCCGCTGGCCGGTCCCGGTCCGCTGCCGCTGCACGACGAGGAGCTCCCGTGGATCGACGGCGTGCTATGCCAGCGTCTTTTTCCCTCACGGGCTGCTAGCGGCTGGTTCGAGGTCTGCCGGGAGGACCGAACCGTCCGTGGCCTGCTGCGGACTCTGCTGCCGAAACCGGTCGTGCCAACTCGGTTACTACAAGGGAGCACGAAAGCCGCCGGGCCGGGAAACAAGAAGCAACCACTCCTACTACCGGTCAGTCTGGAGACCCAGGCCCCCTCCGACATGGTCCGAGACCGCGGGCGGCTGTTACCCGTCAGTCCGGATGCCCAGATACACTTGGATACGATTTTGGCCCGCGAGAAGAGATTCGTCGACTCGGGGAGCCAGCCGCGTGTATACGGCCGAGACACCGGAGGTGGCGATATGTTCGCTGCGTCAACTCCATGGATGGACCGAACGTAGTGGCCGGCGACGTACAAGGGCGTGCGGCGTGACATCTTGTTCGCACTGGCCGAGCTGCCGAACCGCCGCGACCTCACCTGCGACCGCGCCCTCGCTGGTATGGGATAGACTATAACTCAAACTACATCTTCTCTGGCCAAGGTCTATCTCGGGAAACCACATCCGGCACCAGTTCTCCGATGCATCAAAGTCCCACTGGCCGATGTCAAACCGCTTACTGATAGATATCGCTGCCCAGCCCTCGAGTCTGAACACGATGTCACGGCACTGGACCGCCGATCCCTAGGTCACGTGGCACATTGCACTTAGCTTCAGGTTCATCCATCCATAGCTTCCTTTCCTCTTCATAGAGCAACGCAGTTATCTTCCCAGACCTACTATGGTTCCGTGACACACGAGGTAGTATTTGCTACTCCAGGGGCAGTATATCGACTTTGTCTGCCTGTTGATCCACGGCTCTTGCACCGCGAGAAGGTAGTATCTGGCCTCCTCGAGCAGGGCTTCCAAAGCCTGCATATTCCCTTCAATGTTCCAGAGTAGGATTTTACACTTCATGCTCTCGGACGGCAATAGAGTCCATCACTATATCCTCTCCATCTAGTATAGATGTAGCAGTAGCTGTAAAGGTAGCACCTGTGGCCAGCGTTAACTCTAGGACCAGTTCGGTAGCTTGGTGTAACGGTCCCAGGAGTATATTGCAACTAGCTGGTGACGACTCTACGAGTTTGCCTCGAATGGAGGGAGAAGAAGAAAAGAGAGGACTAGATGACAGGAAGAGAGGGCAGCTCTTATATGCTCCGGAACACACAGACACTGCCTGACCTCAGGATGACGTTATCATGATATCACGGCCGAGGGTTGCCGAGGCCATCATGGGCTCAGCCCATCACACT